TTGAACATTGCAGAATCATTTATGCTAGTTGTCTTGAAGTGCCATGTACAGTTTTCACCAACACATAGCAGCCAGTAGCTACAAAATAAACACAATTTAAACACTAGTTTAAAATGTAGATTTAAAAAAAAAGACTCTTTTAGCTTAAACGATCACATTATACAATTTATATACAACATAACTACAATTCATCTACCATACTGATAAACATTATCACAAGGAAAAACTGAAGAAGTAAGAAATTACAAATAAACTACAAAATTAAAAAAATAATGATCTTTGACCATTCATATGTTCATACTTTCTAGCACTAGATCTTTTAACCCTGAGTTGAAACTTGTGCATGACAGAATAGTGCTCCATTGCAGTTGCAATTGTTTGCTTGTCTTGGTATACTTGTCCTATTTCAATAAAACTTGGTGTACTATATGTTATTATTATACTTTCATATTCCTCTATAATGGGAGATGTTGGCATATCAAGTAACTTTAGTGTTCCAGAAGAACCTGCATGAAAATAAAGATAAATACTGTTATGAAAAGTTTGTAGAAATTTTGTAGATAATTTGTCAAAACATTAAAATTCTGTATTTCATATTTATTTTTCAAATGATGTGTAGTTTTATTGTAGAATAAATGTAGCAATTTTGTAGATATTGTGAAAATCCATACTGATATATATATTTACTCTGATATGTAGTTTATTTGTAGATAAAATGTAGATAAAGTGTAGAACATTGATATACAACCAGAATTTGATAGAAAATGTAACAGCACAAACCTGCAACTGTGTTCTCATTGGTGATACTCAATTCCATATTGAAATCGCGAACAGTTATACATAGCGGATATGATCCTAAGTTTTGGTTTTCCTTTTTCGTTTACATGTATACACGAACACCCATATCGTTCCTAGTTTCCATTGGAGGACAATGCTTGTTGACAATGTATTTGATTTCTATAATTTTTTCGGATGTATCGATCATTAATTGTTGTGATAGTAGAATCAATAGACTATAACTCGCATCCTCATCGACTACAATGCCATCGACCTGAAATTCTCTAAATCTCCCATAGTTATCTCAATTCCCATTCAGTTGTAGCATAATTGGGATTTTGGACATAATTGGGATTTTGGACATAATTGTGTTTGTTGTAGAAGATTTAGTCGTTTTTGATTTGTGAGACCAGAAAAAATGTTGAACACAGTGTATCGCAAAAATCGAGTCGCTAAATTTTGATTCGAAACAACCGATAATTATTAATGCGTGATTTGCATTGTAAAATATCTGAACGAATATTTAATTCCCCAATATTAGCACGCCTAAATAAGGAAACTTACAACTACAATGATTCTTTATTTAATGAATTGTTTATATTTTATAGAAATACTATTAGCATGACGAGTAATATGCAAACTATGAACATATTTGGTAATATAATTTCCTATATGATGCAGGAACGAAAATTTCCCATTTTAGAACATAGAAGAAACTCAAAAAACTTAAGCCATTTTGAGATGGGTCTTTAACCCAATAATGTTGCTGTCAACTTCAGAGATAAGGAATTAAGCCTTATCTCCTTTATTATGAAAGGCTTATAAGAAAAGAAGCCCTTATCTCCTTTTAGCATCAACAGCCGCAAAGATCTAGAGGACCAAGCTCCATGAATTTTCATCTTTTTTTAATTTTTTTAATTTTATTAATAACATAAAGTATTCTAACTATTTGTTTTGACTTGAAAAAAGAAATAAAATCTAGTTTTATCATCTTCTTCCTTTAAGTCCTTAAGGCCGTCAACCATGGGACACAAAGCTCCAAATCTTAACTCTCTTTTTCTTGGCAGTGGCCAAACAAAATTGAAGCCTCTGCTTCTATTTTGGGAGAGAGAATCTTGGTCTATTCTTCTTTTTCTCCCCTTCATAGTCGCTGCTGGCCACCATTGTCGGAGCACCTAGCTCCATTTTTTTTGGATCAATTTCGAAAAATTGATTTAAAAAAAAACTATCAGATTATGCTTGAACAAACATTGATTCAAAACTTTGTTCCAAATCAATATCGAAAATTGTTGTCAATTACATACAGAATATTAATAAAATATTCATAGATCTAAATTCAACTTACGTATATATTTTCTTCAATTCTAGAAACTGATTTCTATTTGAATTGATAAAAAAATATCATTCGAAAGTTGAATGGATTAACCACTTCCAATTGCACAGAAAATTCAAAATAAATAAACACATAGTTCCAGATTCACGTAGAAAAGAATTAGAATTATTCTATTAATTTTTTGGACCGGAAAATCCTGTGGCTCTGATATCAATGAAGAAACACACAATAATCTAAACATATTAGATAGCGCGTAAATCGTAAAATGAGAACTTACTTGTTCTTCGTAAAGCGGAAGCGAAAACGGACTGAACCGTGGCTAGAATTACTGGTCGGCGGTGGTTGTCATGGTGTATTGGAGCAACCCCCAATTTCATAATCTAAACCCCAGTTTGATTGTGAGATAGAGAGAGCATGGGAAAAATACTGCTCAGAGTCTAAACCCCAGTTTGATTGTGAGATAGAGAGAGCATGGGAAAAATACTGCTCAGAGTCTAAACCCCAGTTTGATTGTGAGATAGAGAGAGCATGGGAAAAAAAATACTGCTCAATGTCCTTTTTGGTGTACACACTAAGTATACTTATATAAGAAATATTAGGATCAACTAATAACCTTATTGGACTTTAGAGCACCCCTTATGGGTGGACCCAATATTTTCTACAAATACAGTAAATTGAAATTGGGTTAAAAAAATCCAACGACATGGGTCTTATATTGGTAGTGGGGCCCAAGCACTTTGTTTCTTCCCCATTTCTTCATTTGCAGAAGTTTTTTATAGTATTTCTTATGGGCAGTGATAATGAAACCGTAAACATAAAACTAATTAGCTTATCTCCAACCTGCCCTGCCCCCGCTCTGCTATAAAAAAAATTGAGCCCTGCTCCGCCCTGCCTCGCTAAATCTTCAACCTGCCCTGCCCCATTTAACCCCTTCCATGCCCTACCCTGCTTTTGACTTGCCGTATTGCCATCCCTAAAACTCCCCACTAGATTTAGGTAGTGGCGGCGAAGACCTTCAAAGAGAGTAGTTGGTGTTTCATGGCACTCAAACAGCCTGACCTCCTCGAGTAATGACAATCTTGGAATTGCTCGCGTAAATGAAACACCGAAGAGTCATACTTCCCCGAAGCCAAAATGTTCTTAGTTTTCTGACGGTATATATTTCAAGAACGGTGACATTTTTTTCTTTGTGTTTTTGTGATTAATCAACTAATTTATTTTACTTTCTTGAATCTTTTAGTAGAATTTCTTTTTTGAGAAAAACTAATGTAGCATTCTAGTAATCTCCTTATTTTCTTTATTGGATGTCCCCGAAGGGACTAGCGATTTTCTATTGAAATAATGTTTTTGTTTTTGTCATATAAATATCCGTTGCTTTTGGCATGATGAAAGCTTAAGCTTGAGCCATCTTTATATATCTTATACAAGATTGATACATGTTTATACATTATTTTACGCTTTTATACAAAGTCATAGATACATGCTTATATTGGCGTGTAAATATTATATAACAATGTATAAAAATGTATAAATATTATTGCAAAAATAACATAGACTATGCAGTGTACGCTGCAAAATATGATTACGTTAATGCGATGTATTGTGTTTGGTTGTATATTTTTGCAAATTATCCGAAATCGAATGGATTCAAATACCAAGTTGATCGTATACATAGAGAGAAATTAAAACGGTTCCTCTTAAGATTGTGAATTCATTATTTTTACTATTAGACATATTCTATATATATTTTTATTTTCCGTAAAGAACTAATTAGAAAGCATGGATAAGCCAAGGTTCACTTACTAATCAAAAGAAAACTTATAGAGAAAATATGAAACGGCATTCACAGTGTACAACGTTACGAAGTATAAACACAATTTACAGAGCACTTATTAATTGAGTGTTACAACTTAAAAGACTTTATTTTCGTGGAAAATATTTTCCTTCCTACCAAATATACCCTATAAGTCTCTCTTTTTTTCAATCTCGGTTATTTTGGAGAAAGAGTTTTTCACCTCTTCTTTAGAAATTGTCACAACGAGCGCACCATTTTCACTTGATTTATCTTTACATCTATTAATTTTAGTGTTAGCGACAACACGATCAAGGGCTTTTGGCTCTTTTACTTTGATATGAGTGACCAGAGTGATCAGCAGCTTGGTTCACTACTAAAAAGGGGCAAATCGATTGAAAAAATTGACTGATATTGATTGGTAATAGACAAAAATTGACCGAAAATCAATCGATTCGAGGCGGTCGGTAATCACATGGTCGGTAGAGCCAACCGTCCGACTTCAGTCTGTATTTTCAATCGACTTCGGTCGATCAATTAAATTCCAAAAAGAAAAAATTATCGAAAAAACCGACCGAATTGGTCGGTTTTTTTAATTATGTAATTAAAAAATGCACCATTTGAGAATCGAATCGAGGTTTGTACTATGACATGATACTATTCTACCACTAGATCATTGGTTTATTTTGTTTTAATTGCATTTTCATTGGACTGATGTCGGACGGTTTTATTAAAAAATAAAATTACCGACCGAAATCGGTTGGTTTTTTAAATTGACCAACATAAAAAACCGACCGATTTCCATCTGGTTTTCGAATATTAATTTAAATTTATTTTAAATAAAAAATAAATTTTGCGTGACACAAAAATAATTTCCCGCTAAAAAAAGACCGACTAAAGTTGATCGGTTTCATAAAAAAAATAATTAATGTAATGACCAACCAGTTCAGTCAACAGTGATCGATTTAGGCCAAATTTCTAGTAGTGATCACAGGTTTGACAAATTCTCCTCACTCAGTTTTCAGAGATGAGACAATTGATTTAGTGGTCTTCTTTTCTCTCTATACTTGGAACCAAGACTCTATTTGAACGTTTGGGAAAGTTAACAGTAATTAATATCTGAACAAAATGAACTTACATATCTGCATTTGCTCATTTATATGCCCCGAATTACAATTTTATTCATTGATTGATAAGAGTTGCTTTTGGGCATGCTTCTCTTTTTAAGAGTTCATTTACAATATCCAGACTACAAATCATCCCGTTTTCCATTCATAACATATTAACTCCACAATCAGGCAAAACACGCTTCAATCCCTCTTAACAAATCTTCCCTGCAAATATGAAACGCAGAAAAGTTAAAAGGCAACATTAGAATATGATCTGATGTCATGACCATGATATTCACAATTACATAGGGGAAAAGTGTCAAGTTTGCTCATGTACTATTCAAAAATGAACAACTTGCCCTATGTTAAACTTTTGGTCTAATTTTATATAGCAGCCCAGTGCACTAAGCTCTTGCTATGCGCGTAGAGGCGGATTTAGGATTTCTAGTATATGAGTGCACCACTAAAAAAAAGGAGAAAAAAAATGTATTGAGTGGTAATTGATTCCTATACCTCTTGGTAAATAGCTTAACCTTCAACCAAATGCACCATACAATCTTTTTGTAGCATGGGTGCCAACAGTTAACATTATACCAGTTTTTGAAAATATGTAGATAAAATATCAAGTTTTACGAAGAGACCATGTGTTCACGTGCCTCATCATTACACCTATAAATCCGCCCCTGTATACGCGGGGTCCAAGGAAGGACCGGACCACAAGAGTCTAATTTTACCCTGCCAATAGCAACTTTTGATATCCAATCCGATAGTAATCTGAAGTTAAGGGATAAAATTAGACCTTTTTCTCAGATAACTTGGACATGTGAACACTCCATACTATAGCTACGTTAATGGCAATGGGCGAATACTAGACAATTTGCTAACTGCAAGTCATGAATGGACCAAAAGTTTAACGGAACACAAAATTGAATAATTTCATATAGTGCATGGACAAATTTGAACCTTTATCCTTTACCTATTACCAATTATGTATTATTTATGCATTAATTTCAAACGAATAATTAGGACATTTTTTTCATGGCATAAGGAGTAAATAAGTACAGTACCTTAACGCGAGGGCGCTTTTCAGCGTTGAGCTTCCGAACTTGATAACGAATTTTTTTAGAGAAGAGTCTGTTCTGTCTCTTTTCTTTGTACCTTAATACACTGGCTTCTCTTCGTCCTACCTTCAACTCATCCTCTTGTAAACTTTCTGTGGTTCTGCCTCCACTTTGTTCACTTGCCATAAATTCTGGCACTCTATATAGAACTGTACTGCTATCCCACCCACCCATTAGCCCCTACACAATTCACACCAAGAATGAAAACAATATGCCCCATCAGTATGTTAGAAAAATAATAAACAAAATTGGCTTTGAGGCGTGAAAATCGACTGTTCTTAAAGAGTTATCGTCTGTATACTAATTTAGGGAAAATACAAAACGATTCTCTTCAGGATACAACAAAGCCTGTAGTAACACTTGTGATTTTTTATTTCCACTTCGTTGGAATTCTTGTGTATTTATAGGCAAACAATAGACCCTTTCAGAAAAGATGTCTTGTTTCACAAACAGACACGACTATTTATTCGAATTTTGAATTTAAAATTCAAATAAATAATTAACTCTAGGATCTCGTGCCTGTTGAGTTAATCTCGTGCCTGTTGAGACAATCTCGTGCCTGTTGAAACAATCTCGTGCCTGTTGAGTCAGTCTCGTGCTTGTTAAGACAATCTCGTGCCTGTTATGTGCTATTTCATAATGATCAGTTCCGAGGCTAACAGGCACGGTACGAGTAAGGTCGGTCCCGGGAGTGTTTCACATGACAGGCACGGAACTTCTTTCTTCCGATGTGGGAAGAATCCAACTTCCAACTTGCCAATAACAAACTATCTTACACAGTAGAGGTGGATATAGCGTCGTAACACTCAGTTCATCAGAATCTTAGTAATTTTAACGTAAACCATAAATTTAAGAGTAAAAATTGTAGAAATGAACTCGAGGAAAAGAGATACCACCAAACGCTTGATGTTGAACACACACACGCATACATATAATAGAACATTTGGTGCTAGAATAAGGCTAACATAATATAATACCTCAAAGTGCTAGAATAACGACGAACACGTCCAAAGCTAGCTAGCTAATGTCGAAAACAAAAGTTAATCACAAGAATCAAACATAAATTAAATTGAAGTCTGTATGTCCTATATTTTAGTATAATTAACCACACACCAGACTATAATCAACTTATAATTTAATGACACTTCTCCATCTCAAGAGAATAATTTAATGACATTCATACTTTCATGCATTTTTTTATTCGAATATTATAATTCACATTCATATTAATTTATCCTCCTCTTAAAAGAGAGTTACAAACATAAAGTAATGCGAATGTGAACTATAATATAATATACTAATAAAATGAATTGTCGTCCTCCGAAAAGACAATCATAGTGTTGCCGATGAAAGTAGAAGGAGAACCATGAGATCTCTTAGGTGTAAATTTCAGTTGACACAAAAATACTAGGTGATCTATTCCGATTGTTTAAGCTTTAGGTTATCCGATACCGAAGTTGGTGGTAGGCAAGGGCGGATCTATAGCCCATATTTCAGGGCATGTGAACTCATGATTCCTTCGCCAAACTAGGTATTTTATGTACATATTTTTCAGAATTGGTCCAGTATTATGTATTGACACCCATGTTCCATAAAGGTTGAATGTTGCACTTGGTTCAATACTTAATTATTTAATCAAAGAAATAAGGATCAATTCTCACTTAGCACTTTTTCCCTCTCCTTTTTAGTAGTGTATCCATGTTCTAGAAATCCTAAATGAGGCGCCTCTAATGATAGGTAATAAATACTCAGTGGATAAACGAAGTGAGCAAACTGACCTATACACCTCGGTTATATAAAAAGACAGCATAGAGTTGTAGGACCAAACTTCACATGTTTTTCTTATGTGTTTATGGAGAGGTACAGTTACTATCTACAGCATGCAAACGAATAAGGACACAAAAAGCTTCAGCTAATTCAGTAAAAGCGAATTTCAAAGGGGCCCCGGAACACAGGCCAATCAATTGCTCAGTACTAGACGCTGTTTCAACATTAAAATGCATCAATCCACCACTTCACCAAAAATTTACCATTGTTATATTTGGGATTTACAGCTCTAGAGGACTCCTTATGGCTGTTTTGCCTCAATTAGTACTCTACTTGATGCCAACAACAAAGTATTTTTTTAAAAAAAATGAAATATTTTCACCCAACTAAAATCACAAGGGAGCTTTGACGTAACTAGTAAGATTGTTGCCATGTGACCAGAAGGTTATGGGTTCAAGCCGTGAAAAGAGTAAAATTACGTATAATAAATCCTTGTGGTCTGATTTTTTTCGGACCCCGCATATAACGGGAGCTTGCTATGTGCCCCGGGTTACTTTTTTTTTTTTGGCCAAAGAAAACTACAGCAGTAAAAGAGTGGAAAAAGAAAATTACAGTGTGTAGGCAGTCTCAGACGGCAGAAGAAAGCGAAACTCCTATCTAAAGCTGAAACTGCCTCGAGGGAATGCCCTATCTTATCTGATCTTTTACCGTTGACCAAAATTTCAGCTATTTGTTTAATCTCTTTTTGCAAAATTAAAGTTGCTTCAGCTACTTTTTCAATCTAAAACTTTTCCTATTACCAATCGTCATTTTCGTCCTAATTTAAACATTAAACAAAGTAACAAGCGACAACTAACCGTGATTTAGCAAGTCTTAATCATAACCTTAATTGTTTAAAATAAGGTTAGAGAATCTCACGTGGGATGAAAATGACGTTTCGTAATTGAGAAAATCGCCATTGATATCAGGAACGATCTGCGACGATTCTGCCTGAAGGTAAAGCGAACCCTTATCTGACCAAGCATTCAATATTTCCTCATAATCAAGCTTTAGTGACAACTGCTGCTGTTGATTTCTCTTCCTCGGACGATCAATTGAACAACTGCTTACTTCCTCCTCCTTCCTCGTTGTCTCACTATGTTGGTCAAGATCAACAACGTCGGAGTAAACAACCCACTTCTCTTCTTCCTTGTTTTCCCTCTCTTTGTTCCTCAGAGCTGTCCGTACTAGCTCACCTTGCTTTCCCCTGTAAGACATACTCAAACTTTAGACGGTACAGATCATGACAATCCCTAGACTCGGTGGCCAAATTTCTCAAGGGTGTTCCCAGTTTGAAAGAAGTAAAAAAAAATCTCGTAACAAAGGGTGTTCAATACATATTATATACATCTAAAATATTATATTTCGACGAAGAGTGATCAATTGACCATTCTTAGCAAAAGGTGGCTTCGCCCCTGATTAGACTCATCCAAATCCAAGTTTAACTCAACTCGTCTATTTGTTACCTTTACCTGTAAGTGTCGGCATACTTTAGTCTTTCTTCCGATGATGAAACCGTCATGTAATTTGGACCACTTTGGTTGCTATCAATTTCATCCTTAGAAGAAGTGAGAAGTTCGGTAAGAGTAGTGGCGCTGTTTTCAGCGCCGGAGAAAAACAGGGCCACGTTCTCATCGTGGCAACTGTCTTTGTCATCGACTAAATTTTCTGGGTGCAGAGGAAAGAGATTGAGCTGTTGAGAATTCTGATGATCATGAGTGCTAGCGGTGGACGTTACCGGCACATGATCTGACGGTTGAAATTTTTTATCAGAAAGCTGAAGACTAAGACTTAAAAACTTGGGTTTTCTCCGCTTGCTTTTGGTTTTGGATTTACGATTTTTCTTGCCCATGGACATACTCAGATCTCTTCGCTTGTCCTTCTTGGATTTTACACAGCGGCTCAATAAAATAAGTGACAAAAGAGAAAGGAAAAGTTGAGAAAAAGTGTAGTCTTTTGTGGGGAAGACTTGAATCTTTGATGATGCTTTTGGTGATTGAACAGAGCACAGAAAAGTTAGTGTCGATATCATGGTGTGCTGATCTAGCTGCGCTTTTTGACACGTGGAGGTTGGTTATTGGAGGAGAATGGAGATTGTGTTGTTATCTGGATTACGTTGCTGGTGCCTTAGATATTTTCGTGCAAAGTGTAAATGATGGGAGTAACTCCAAAAGTTTTATTTTGTGGTCTCGTACAACTTACACTAGTTGTACGGTTTTTTTTTTGTCTTATAAATTTGTGGACCTCAATCTTACACTTCTGGGTACACAGAAATCTGAGTCCACAAAACTGTGAGACAAAAAAATTGCCTCATACAACTAGTGTCAGTTGTATGAGACACAAAATAAAATTTCCGTGTAACGGAGTCTGGTAAGAGCGTAAGACTATTCCCCGTGTTTGATTTTAATATCACACCTAACTCAAATGCTCAATGGTTGCGGAACTCTAAAATTAGATTGTGATCTTTATACAAATAGTCGGTCGGACTCCTTTTTAATTCTAGTTGATAATACATAGTTATACATGAATTATTCAGGATTATATACATATTACACATTGGTTTTACATAATACTGCTTATTTAATTTAAGCGGATCAGTGAGCAACTATTTAGATTAATCCTTCCTTAAAAAGAGAAAAGGGTAAGAAGTAATTAAAAATCAGTGGGCATTGGTTCAGGTTTCCAGCCCAAACCTCTAGAAATCCATGTGGAAAGCCCAAGCTGAGGGCATTAGTTCAGGTTTCAAGCCCATAACATCGTCCAAAACCCCGAACCTTTGCAATTCCTAAGGGCTTTTTCATTTTTAGCCCGCGCCAGAAATTATTTAAATTTTATAGCCAAAAAATTATATAAATTTGTATAATTTTTGTATATAATATACAGAATGTATGTATATATATATATATATGAATTTTTACATTCCTATATCATATAGGAAACCTTATTACCCTCAATGTTTAAGGTTTGATATAATTACATTTAGTATACCAAATTACCAATTCTATACCATAATGTATTTTAAGGGTACAATTAATGCAGCGTATATCCCTTCTTAATTCAAGGTACCGCATATCTCACCCCTCCCACGTTTTAGCTTCGAGGTTAAGAATTACTGGAGAACAAAAGTTCAAAAACATGCAAAACAGCTGCACTATGACGTTAATAGCCTACGATTTCGAGATTTCTTTCGCTATCAATGGCTACCCTCTTTAGCTCAACAAATACGTGAAACGTCATCATCTGTGGAACATCTTATGTCCTCTTCTTCTGTCTATCACAGTAGCACTGAAGTAATATTGGAGAATTCTACTTTTCTTCAAACCGGGATTAATGGATCGACTAACATCACATGTCCAATAAACCAGACTCCAAACGTTGCCCAAGTTACGTCACTAATAGATGATAATGGAATTGAGGTTCGATTGTAGCTTGTAGCTTAATTGGTATTTTCGACATTAGTACAATTTCTCATTCAATTGTAGCTTAATTGGTATTTTTGACATAATTGCATTTTTTGCATAAGATTTATAGAAGTTTTAGTCGTTTTTTGATTTGTGAAAACAGAAAACAAAGCATCTACAATCAGAATACAAATAATCTACAATTTATCTACAAAATATCTACAAACTGGGTACATTGAATTTTAATATCTCAACTCTCAATGTAGCTTAATTGGTATTTTTGACATAATTGCGTTTATTTGCAGAAGATTTTGTAGAAGTTTTAGTCATTTTGAATTTGTGAAAACAAAAAACAATGCATCTACAATCAGAATACAAATAATCTACAATTCATCTACAAAATATCTACAAATTGGGTATATTGAATTTTAATATCCCAATTCCCATTCGATTGTAGTTTAATTGGGATTTTCGACATAATTGTGTTTTTTGCAGAAGATTTATAGAAGTTTTAGTCATTTTTGATTCATGAAAACAGAAAACAAAGCATCTACAATTAGAATACAAATAATCTACAATTTATCTACAAAATATCTACTGTAGCAACCCCTTTGAGAGGGTACTACTTATGAAAACAAATCTAATTTCCTACTTACAAAATATTAAAAGAGATATTAATAAAAATATTTAGAATAATTTTAGTAGCGGAAGTAGGCCCATGCAAAAAGGTTCATTTCAAACTATCAGGTATATATAAAAAAACAAAGGAAACTAGTTTTCTCCTTTTTTACATATTTACAAAACAAAGTGTAAATTCAGCATATTACAAGACTTGAGTTATTAAAACACCCTAATACAATAAAATAGGTTACAAATTCAAGCTACAAGATTTTGGTCTTTAAAATCCAACAAGGCTCCAAATAACATAAGTGTGACATATATATATCCTGTATATCATGTATATCATGTATATCATGTACATGTCCCAAAACTATGCAAACTAAGGTGCATATGCAAATGTGATCTCCATAAATTCTCTCAAAGAGACTACTTCACCCTGACCATCTTCAGATTTCATCCCGAACATTTCCTACGATAGAAAATAACTATCGCTAAGCATAAATCTTAGTGGTGTATAAACTTTAGGCTTGGAGTTATTAAATTCTCCAATTTCCCCTTTTCAGTCATAGTTAGCTCAATTTAACATAATTTAAAACAAGTGAACAAATATATCAAACATATCAATATCAAACTTTGAAGTGTTTCCAAATATCAATAACAATGTTCAAGAGTCTAGAAAGTGTATACTATCAACTTAAGAGAGTATACCAAATATCCATTTTTCGCCCAATATGTACGTCATGCCATCACACTAAGCATAATCAAATATCAAGATGGACCGAAGCCCCAAATCAAGTAGGGTCAAAACCCAATAGACAAGAGAATCAAGAACCATATTAAAAATGGCTTCCTAGTTCGTACTTAACACGGACAAGTTCCATAATTCAAGACGAACTACAAATCCAAAGTCAAGATGGCAAAAGATCCGAATCAAGAGGCATGCCAAGTGAGTGACCAAGTCACTGCCACAAGAAGGACAAAGTCCCAACAAGAATGCAAAATGATCAAACAATCCGTACGAATGGGCGATTTAGCAAATTTCTTACAAGACTTGATATAATACGAATATAACAATATAATTCGAAGACAAGAAAAATAAAATATCAGGTTATTTCAACATATTTCCAGCAAGCAAAAAGAGTACAAGTTTATACACAAACCTTGGTGTTTTACCACAAAACAGTTCAATCACAACTTGGGGACGTTCGAATCGTCTACGCCGTAAACAAACCAAATCTGTCCACTTCCTCAAACACTTCCCCTTTGATTTTTTTCAAGGGTTTATATACCTTAAATACACAATCAAATATGTAAATAAGTTCAGTGATTTAACAAGTCAACTAAACATGATATTGGTGAAAATTACCCAAAAACGTTTGAAACAGAAATTCTGGACAGTATCACTGTTCTGAGTTGTGACTCAGTTTTGAATATCTACACGGACAAACTAGACTTTCTACAAAAGTTGTAGATCTATGTCTTACCGTTTCAGAACATCTTGAATCACCTCCATATCAAATTTGAACAAAAAGTTATGCTAAAATTACTAACAGCAGTACATGGAGTATTTCTAAAACTGAAAATCTGGACAACACCTGCCCTGTACTTTCTGATCCTTTTTTAGGTAAATACCAACAAAACTAAATTTTGGTTTCTTCATAAGAATTATAGATTTATGAAATACCTTTCCAGAAAGTCCTGGATCACTTAAATCGGAGCTCAGTACAAAAAGATATGTAGAAAATACTAGTAGGTGTCTAGTATAAAAACGAGTTTAGAAACTTACCAAGAGGAGCAACTTGATCTTCACCAAAAACGAATTTTATGCGTTGATTTAGTAGAAATCCATGGGTTTTTTTTTTATGAAACTTCAGCTTCTTGTTCCTACGGAGGAGAGAGAGAGAGATAGAGATAGAAAGATAGAGATAGAAAGAGAGAGAGGTAGATAGTTATTCTTCTTTGTTTCTGAAGAGTAGAAGAATAGGGAGTTTATGGACAGATATGAAATAAAATGGTTCCCCGACTACTAAATATTCTTAGATAAATACAAAATGTTGGAAACCCAAAACTTAATTATATACTATATTTACTAACAACTCGACAAAATAATATTAAGTGTTACATATAGCAACACCATGGAACTTCATTGCCAATATTAACACAACCTAAAGTAAGAAATTTTCATATATTGACCATTCTATATTTAGGAAGTGCAAAGTAAAATATTTCCTCGTTATAAAAAAAATGCTCAATCAAGAATGCAAATATTGTAACAATGTTTGGGGTGTTACATCTACAAACTGGGTACATTGAATTTTTATCTCCCAATTCTCATTCAATTGTAGCATAATTGTGATTTTTGACATAATTACATTTTTTCAGAAGATTTGTAGAAATTTTAGCCATTTTTTATTTGTGAAAACAGAAAATAAAGCATCTACAATCAGAATACAAATAATCTACAATTTTTGCAATATGTCTTCTTCTTCTTCTTCTTCTTCTTCTTCTTCTTCTTCTTCTTCTTCTTCTTCTTCTTCGAGTTTCAATCTGAAATTTAGTCAAAACCAAGTCTAATCTTCACCAAAACTCCTCAAAATTGAGGATATAAACTCCAAACTATATTCCCGATTATTTTCAACAACACCCAGTCCAAACAAATAATGATTTTTGAAAATTCAAATTTGAATTCAAAGCTTTCAAACTTTTTAATGGCTGTCAATGCTGAAAAATATCTGGAAGAATATTTACTTCCAGATTTGTAGCGCGCCTAATTAGGAAGGAATCATCTCCTAATAATTGATATTTAATGATTGGTATATATTTTGTAGAATAACTGTGAACATGGCGGGTAAATATGAAACTATGCACATTTTTGGTAATAAAGTTTCATATATGGTATAGGAAAGAAAAAGTCTCATATATATATATATATATATCGGCTATTATTTTGAGAGCAATTATATAGCGTTATTTTTTCAATTC